AACCCATCCCATCACCACGGTTAAGTTTGCACCCAATTGGTGGAACCGTTCTGCATAGTATGCCAATTTGACTATAAAAATTCTATTATTTGTGAGGTTTCAAGCCACAAAATCATCCGTGTCATACGACGGCAGTGGCAACGCCAAGATGCATTGCGCATCAATAGGCCAAAAATATTAATGAACTAGTTCTTGATCCTATTGCCTAGTCGCGAGCTCAATAAATTCACTTACCTTAGATAGCAAGTTCCTCCTCACAGGTAATCACTTTCCTCGCTGGTGACTCAGGTATCAAAGAATCTTTGTCATGCATTGATTTTACTTCCATCACCCACTCTCTAAATATGGCCATGTTTTAGGGTATTCACTCTTGCCATAACGCTCTGCCAGGTATAAGAAATTTGAAACATGTTTCCTTAAACTAGCCCTCAAAAGATCAATATCTTAGTAACACTTAGCATGCAAGACACATGCACATAGTGATTTAGAATTATCAACAAGTCTACACATCTGTTTGTCAAACGTTGCAAGATTGAAACAAGCCCATACGACCATCTTTCTTTGGCACACACATTTTTCACCATGCAACTCGGTGGATCCTCTTTTGGTTGTCACTGTTTCCTCACAACAATGTAACATCGCGTCTGTTATTCCTTTGTAAATTTGTTAGGAATTTTAAAGACAAACATTTCTATGATGGTATATCCTGCACAACCGACTTAAGAAGATCTTTGCCGCCAGCAGAAAGCTGCCTTTCCTTCCACTGTTTTTGCATAACACAGTCAATTAAGAATTAGAAACAACCACTTTTATCTAATGGGCAAACACTTGTTTGCCAAAACTTCTGTCATGATATACGTAAGGTGCAAATTTCTTTCCTTCTCTGCACGTGTGTATTTGGGCTGAAAAAAATATTAGATTTTACATACTAACTTTGTGATCGGATGCAACACAATAGAAATCTAGTATCAACTTCAAACACCCAAGACTCAACACTTTGAGCATTAGCTTTATCGAAATTAGAGAGTCATCTACATCCGTGACACAAGAGATTTTAAGTTTCATCAAAATTAGTGAAGCGACTTATTAAATGCAAAATCATATGAGAGTATCCTATATCCTAGTATATACTCCCTCCGTTTCAAAATAGATGACCCAACTTTATACTAAAGTATCCTATATCCTATTTTGAAATGAATGGAGTATTTAAAGAGAATCATCCTCACTAACTTATTTATGTCAATGCGCAATCATGTCACCTCATTATCTACAATTATAAATGAGATAAGACCCACCTTAGTATGCAACCGTGCAAGAAAAAGAATAACCACAACATTCAACCATGCATGAGAAATGTTTTTATTCAAGTATTATTTTACTTATATTCAATAACTATCGTTACAACTATACATAAATTTTCATCTTCCAAACCGCACCGGATATTATGTACTCCCTTTGATTTATATAAACCCTTACATATATTTCTTTACAGGGAGTAGTAGTTTTTCCACGAGGGCTACCCTATTAAAACCTTTTACATAGAGAACCCTTGCAAAATCCAATATTCGTATTCTGGGGAGGCTGGCTTGGCGAACCAAAGGTAACCCTTGTACACCCAAATCCCTCCCACAGCACCGTCCCGGGGTCCGTCGCCGCCGAAACCCCTCCCCTCTTCCTCCTTCTCCAGCACCACCACCACCGCCACCAAAGCGCGCCTGCCATCTCGAAGCGTGGCAACTAGTTTGTCTCGCGATCTCCCTCCCCGACCCCTTGTCCTGCTGCTGGGCTGGCGTGGTCGGGACGCGACTCCGTTTGCTGGTAAGGAAGCCCTAGCTTGTTCGTACTTTTGTGCGGGTGAGGAACAGCCGAATCAAACTAGACAAATCCCCTTTTAAGGATCGATGAGACGTTCGGGTGCATCCGCCCATGTATTTTGATGCATATTTTCCTCAACGAATGCTACTTTTGATTAGATCCCTAATCAATACGAAGTCATACTAGCTGTTTTATATATATTCAAGTAAACAAATCGGGGATTCGTCCAACGGAACCCCGTTTCCCCTGTTAAGTCCGACACTAGATATGGATTTCAGTTCTCCTTAGTGGATGCCGCCTTATGTGAAGTAGATACATACTTGGTCCTTTTCATGTATATGTTCACTGGCTTCACTGCTGCTGATGGCTTGATAGATTGCTTTGTTGCTTTCGCATTTGTGAATTAGTTTGGAAAGCATCGGTGTTGACGTGCGGATCGGTGTTTGTACTTACTTTTGATCCACACCCTCTTTGTTTGCCTCTTGTGGGTGTGTTATACCTCAATGTCAACATTATTCTTAGGCATGTCTGCCTGCCAGTATTTTGCGTAGACATTTGGTACATGACTATTGTTTTTTTGGCTGGTGGTACCAAGCAATATCCAGCTTTTCATATAATGTAATTCACTAGTGTTGTTACTTTGACTCTTGGCATGTCGTTTCTGCTCAGCCCGGTAACGTAGTTGGCTAGCTTCCTAACCTTGATAACCTGCCTGCCGCCACAATCTTTATTGTAAACAGTTAGTAAGCTGTTTCAGCTTTATAATTTTGTTTGTTACTTTGATTCATTTAGTATGTTGTTTCTGTTCAGATTAGTAAGCCTCGAATACTCATTAATTTAAGATGGAAATAGTTTAACTTCAGATCTAAGAATTTGTCTGTTGCTAGTGATACTCAAATTCACTCGATGTGTCGTTTGTGCTATTATTTGTCACTAGCACAAATGCCCGTGCGTTGCAATGGGAGAGGAATTTGACATGTCCACTTAAATGTCCATCAGTGCGGTATGACAACAACTGAATGGTGCCATGCAGCGGTGACACACATGCCGAGCTCTAATAGAAATGCATATATCGGTCAAATTGCTCAAATAGCAGGCATAAAAAGTCAAATTAATTTATCTTTAAACATCAACTTGGCAGCCTATTTGCATGCAGCAGGATTTGCCTTATTTAGGATTTAACCCTTTCTATTGTCGTTCCTTACTTCCTTGGTCGTGTAGGCATGCGTGAGTTTCCTCTGGCTAGTTTCCTAGCAAATCTTCTAATTTAACCTCCTGCTAATAAGAGGATTTAATGGGTGCTCTCTCCCATCGGCCCATGCATAGAGAATGGAATTTATTTTCCATTCTTCTAATTTCTTTCTTTCTTTCTTGCCGAATATGTTTTTTTCTTCTAATTCTTTCCCTTCGTGCTCAAGGGCTCATAATAGCGGGATCTATTCTTTCTTTAAATCTTTTCCTCCCTTCCTCCACACAAGAAATTTATCCCTTCTTTTAATCCCACAGACAGCAACCCACTCCTTGGGGCGGCTTATTTATTTCAATTCGTAGACATATATAAATTGGTGTGATAAGTTATAGGAAAGCGAGGCCTGACTGTACTGCTGGGCCAGGCAATGGGTGAGGCCCAATAGACATCAGCCTGCGCGCTTGAAGAAAAAAAACAGCAATTGAGAAAAAGGGTGAACTGACCAAAAAACTGGAGAAACGCACCTTTCTTTATTTTTTTATTTTTTAAAAGTAGGTGTAGACTATATTTATAGGCATGGGTGGTCCAAGCATCTCTCCAGCCCAGGCTTTTGCCAGCTGTGCAACACGAGATTTTCATGAAAAAAAGGTGGCATCCTAAGCACTTTGATTTGTGGTTTGCCCAGAGTTTAAAATGTTCTGGTGTCCGCTACTGTTTATATAAGTCCAATGAAATTTCAATGTCAATGATGTAGTCCTTCAATATTTGCATGGTTAGCATGGCAATTTTCAGCTTTAACAATATGTTTGATCATTATCAGTATCTTTGTTTCATCATGCATTTCGTCTGTGGAGATTAGCTATGTACTTTGCTAATTCTAGCTACATTGATTACCTGCCATATGCCTGTCTGTTTTCCACCCTGTATAGTGGAAACACATGTGGTGTATGTGAACTGCTTATCATGCTAGCACATTAGGGATTTAGGGATACTGTCATGTAACTTGGTTATTTGGCAACATAACACCTGCTGAACTCCAAAGCTAACAGAATAAGCCTAATGCATCATGCGCTGCACTGTACGTGTCACTCTTCTTATGGCTGTTAATCAGGCCATAGAGAGCCGGTAACAGAATTAGACATCCTCTATACTCTTCGCTTGGAGTCTGACCTACTGTTACTGAAGTAGCATTACCTTTTTAGTTCAGTTGGCCCTAATATTTTTTTTTAACTATGCGACAGTGTAGGTTCTCTTTGTTATTTCTTACTATGGTTTAAGATTGAGTCAGCTGTCAAGCTACTTCGGCTGCTGGCTGCTAAGAGATAATCTACCAGATGTCTGTTTCTTGGGCATGGAAATATTCATCTATCTAATTAGTTATGACACGTTATGGTATAGGCATGTGTTGTATATCTCTACTGTATCGTGCTAGCACATTAGGGATTTGCGGGTACTCTTTGGTAACTTGGTTCATTAGCAAACTTTGCCTTGTTCTGAACAAAGCACCTACCGCACTTGATAACTGAAAAATAATGATGGCATATGGACCCACATGCAATACTTTTGGTGGCTTGCCTTTTATGGCTGTCCATCATGCATTGATCATGGAGAGTGGTGACAATTAGATACCCCGTATATTCTTTGTCCTGATCCAGTATGGCTGTAAGCAGCTACACCTTTCGTATTTCGTTGACTTCTAATATTTGACTTGCTATTGTTAAAAAGATGAGCCATTTCTTCAGCATTGTGCATCATTGACTAACCATTTTGTTTCTTTTTATCATGTTGTGTATGTGGTGGTGCCATGTGTTGATTACTTGTCTTCTTGTGAATGAAATTTTGTATTTGCTTCCTTTATAAAAGAGAATAATTGACATTTTTGTGTCCTCATTGGATTTCTGGTTTTAGCTCATACATTTTGAATGCATAACTTATGAAATTAGCATATGTACAGGCATCTGAACCCTTACTGGATAGAAGTTAGTGAGGCCGGACAATGGGTTTCGATAATGAATGTATTCTGAATATACAAACTCTTCCTGGTGAATATTTTTGCCCTGTTTGTCGGACACTCATATACCCCAACGAAGCTCTGCAAGCTCAGTGCACACATCTCTACTGCAAACCTTGCTTGGCTTATGTAGCAGCAACCACACAAGCCTGCCCTTATGATGGTTACTTAGTGACGGAAGCCGATTCCAAGGTATAGCCTCTTCTCAAGGGAGTGATTTGTGCACAGTACAGTGAGTTTAGTGTACTTGGAAGTAGTACCCTCTTTGTTATAACCTGCTTTCAAATATGCAGCCTCTGGTGGATTCAAATAAATCACTTGCTGAGACAATTGGTAAAGTTACAGTACAATGCCTGTACAACAAGAGTGGTTGCCAATGGCAAGGAAATCTGTCTGAATGCAACACACATGGTACCGCTTGCGCCTATGGGAACTCACCAGTTGTTTGTAACCGTTGTGGTACTCAGATTGTACATCGTCAAGTGCAAGAACATGCTCAGCTTTGTCCTGTATGTACATCATGCCTCAAAGTGATTTGTTCTATAAGTCTATGACTATTTCTTTATGCATTAATATTTTTGTACCTTTTTGTGTCTTTGCAGGGCGTGCAACCCCAAACACAACAGGCTGACGGTAGTCTTACACAGTCATCAGCTGCAATGACCCAGGCAGTCACCCAAGATCCTTCTGCAATTTCCTCTGTGGCGCCTGTAGCAGCTCCTACAGCTGGAGCTGTTACAGCTTCTGCACTGGTAACTGGTTCAGCTGGTGTGACCACAGCAAGCACGGTTGCTGTGGCCCCTTTCGCAGGGGCACCTACTTCTGCTACTCAAGGTCAAGCAGTTGCACCACAAATTCAAACAGCTGAGCAGTACCAGCAGCAGCTCCAGTACCACCAGTACTACCAGCAGCATTACCCTGGCTACAATCCCTACACCCAGCAGTATCAACAGTATGGCCAATACCAACAGTACACGCAACCTCAAACACAAGTGGCACCACAGAATGTTGCTCAAGTTCCTGTACAACCTGCTCCATATGCTCAGCCTCAATTCCTGCAGCCGTCACAGCCCCAACACATGGTGCCAAACCAGTCCCAGAATCCTCAACTCCAAGCACCAGCTGTTCAGCCACAGCCTCAGCAGAATCCACCATTGCATTCAGCGCCTCAAATTCCACAGATGCAACCACAAGGTGATGTACAACCTATAGCCCATACCCAAGTTGGTAATCAGCCATTTGCAATGCCTGCAACTCAAGCAATAGCCTCCCAGGTGCAGCCATATGTGCAACCTCATCCTCCACATCATCAGCAGGCTGTTACCCAGCAACAACCGCAAATGCAGTACCCACCTCAGCAGCAACATCTTCAATCTCAGGTGCAGCACCAGCATCCACAAGTGCAGCAGCAATCGTACCCACAACCTCATGTCTATCATCAGCCTCATCCAGTTGCACAATCTCAGAACCCTTCAGTACATGGGGTAGCAGGTCATCAATCATATTCGCAGCCTCAGCCAGCACATCAGATGCCACATGGTGCTGCAATCCAGCACCCTGTACATGCATCTCACCAACAGTTAGTTGGTCCTCAGCATCCTGCACTTGTACACCCTCCTCAGGGTCAATTTCCGTTGCAAGGTCAACAGCCATCCATGCTGGCTCCTCAAGGTAGTCAGCATACCCCACAACATCAGCAACATGGGCATCAGGCTCAGCGGCCACCAATGCATCCCAGCATCCCTTCGCAGGCACCACCACAAGGATTTCCTCTTAGCACACCCGTTCCTCCACAAACAGGTCAATCATACCAGCAAGGAATGCACTCAAAACAACAACAGATACATCCTCAACCTTTCCAGCCCCATGGTCCACAATATATGCAGCAGCAGCAGCATGTTCCAACCTCGACTAGCAGGTCTACGAGTTATGTTGCAACACCGCATCAGTTCCAAGAATCAGGAAAGTCAGAAAGTGCAGCTAATGCTACTGGCAATGCTGAAGTAGGTGATAATACAAATGGAGGCGGTGAATATTCTGGCATAAAGCCAGAATTGCTGGGTGATAAAAATGTGAATGGGGAGCAGAATGATTTTAGTAATATCAGAAAAAATGCGGTACAAACTGGCATTGCATTGGGTGTTGCAGATGGTTTAGACAAAGGCAAAGGAAAGGATGAGTCTGGTGTCCAGGAAAGTAATTCACAGTCTGAAGCTTCAAATATATCCAATGATCTTGAGAAAGGAGGATCATTGCAGCAGGCATCACAGAAAGGCCAGGGAGCGCTGGGTTCCTATGTGCCCCCAGGCATGGGCCGACAGTGTCCATCCGGACCTGATACCATGCTTTCTCAGCATATGCTCCATCCTGGTCCTGTGCCATGTACGCAAGCCCAGACGAATCAAATGAGGCCACCTAGTCATAGTTTTCCTGAAAATGTCCGGCCTACAGTGCAGCAACAACTATATGGTGTATATCAATCTGAAATGGCACCAAGGGCGCTTGCACCAAACCTTCCGCGGCCTGCACCCACCAGACCTGATGATGGCATGATTCGACCGTCCATGGCTGGACCCTTGCCTGGACTTCATGACACAACTATGCCTCCTTTTGCTCCAGAAAATGTTGGCCGACCACATCCTGTTGGTAATTCTCTTGAATCAAATGCAAACACTTTTGAGTTCTCCATTTTAGGGACACTTGAGTTTTCTTTATTGTAATCATCTTGACCAAAACTTCCTTCTGTTCAGGAATGAGAAATGGTGTTGGCGGAGAGCAGCTAGGAAATTCCAGGGCTTTCCACGAAGAAGGGTTCAATTCTTCACAGGAACATTTCAGGTCGTTGGCGCCACCATATCCTGGCAGATACAATGTCAACCCTAAAGATATTGAAGAGAATATGAAGCAATTTCCAGGGCCAACTCATCTTGATGATGACAGTTTTCAGAGAGGCCCAAGGCCTTTTGATGGTTTCGATTCATTACCTGGAAGGCCTCCATTCCCAAACAAGCCAGGCCCATATCCTATAGGCTTCCCTGAAGATTTATCAAGGAAGCCCCATTCAATTGTTGGCCATCCTGACTTTGTGTCACCTGGTGCAGAATTTGGCCATCACAGGGTTGATGGAATGCCTAGAAACCCAGGTAAGGTTTATAAGATGATTCAAGGCTTGATTTGAAACTTCATCGTCAGAAAGTCTTCATGAGTTTAACGAATGAAGAGGAGCTTATGACTACTTGATCCTTTTCACATTTTTTCAATGGCTGCTTCAAATGGTTTTCAGGTTCATTTGTTCAAGGGATGACAGCTGGTCCTGGAGGTCTTCGTAAGGACCAGCTAGGCCCTGGCAACCTTCCAGGGAGTAGACAGCATGATTTTGACAATCCAGGGTTCCCTCATACACATTTCCACCCTGCTGATATTTTTCTTCCAAGAAATCTTCATGGTTCTGAACCCCTTGGGCATGGTCAATTGCATGGAATTGAACCTTCTGGCCACCGGTTCCAAGGACACATACATCCAGATGATCCAAATTTTGATGACTATTCTCGACATGGTTTTCCACAAGAATCTGGCCGCTTCAGTTCGGTGGGTTATGGATATTGAATTAATAAGTTTATTTTCGTTTTTGTGTTTATTCCTGATGCATTATGAGTTACTATATGCTATATATACTTGATGTAGGAGTACCTATTAATCACTGAACTGCTGTTCTATTGTCCAGGGTGGTTTCTTCAGTAGTGGAGATGTTGGTTGGTGCCGGATATGCATGTTTAACTGTGGGAGTGCAGAGGACCTTGGTTTACATGTGCATACAAGAGAACATCAGCAGCATGCAATGGACATTGTTCTGAAAATGAAGCATGATGTTGCGAAGCGACAGAAAATGTGAGTATATTTTTGCACTAATTTGAATTAGAACATCCTAGGTGAAACATTTCCTTGATTTGCAACTCTTGCCCATTTCTCAGGAATCCTGGAGGCCCCAAGTCATTAAACAAAAAAGTAGCCATGAAGAGCAACTTCCATGGAAATAGGCGTTAGACCTCCTGTTACATAGTTCAGCATTCGATGAGATTTCAAGGTAGGTATGGTGGTTGCATTTCCCCCCTCAAGTGCAACGCTAAGTTCAGTAGTTCAGTTAGTTGCTTTGCCCCCCGTCCTTCGCCAGGTCGCTAGTGCTGTTTGGATCTATTTGCGACCACTCAACTGAGACCTGTTCATGCATTTGGGTTAAGGTAGTTCTGCATGCTTGGAATGGAATATTTAGTAGCCCCAAACTTCTGTTATTATATTGTATTGCAGACTATTCATGCTTTTATGGTACTTTTTGTTGCTATTTTGGATATTCAATTCCTGTATTCTGACTCTGAGGATGCTTCTATTTCCGAGCGTGCAGCCTTCCAGTTTTGCATGTGATAATAGTTGATAATAATGTGCCATCTCCATTTCATTTTGTTAGGTGCATGCTGGTCTAGCATGAGATTTAGGAAGTAGAGGAAATGACCATGTTAGCCATGGTGTTATTGTCTTGAAAATATGAGAGAATATTTCCTAGCCATAGATGCGAAGTCATCATTTCTACATGAATGCCTCGTATTTTGAAAGGATATTGAAACACTGTTGGCCTTGTACTTTGAAATGGAGGGCGTACTTGACTTCCATGTATATCCACTAGGTAGACGTGAGTTTTGTTGTTCTTACTGGAGCCTAAATATCACATAGAATTGTTACAAAAATGCTAAAAGGTAATACTGTATTTTGTAGAAACATAAGAATCTTGTGGTATATTTTATAATCTTTTAGGGCACTCCTGGTATGTAAATTGCCACCAGTTTGCTTATGTTAAATCCTAGAAGATGCCATCACCTTCTATTGAAATGAACCCTAAGATTATAGGCACTGCTCCAAATAAAGGCCTTTGTGAAATCGCATTTAAAGGCCAGGCTGATAGAAATTACAGCTTATATAGATATTGAATATGATGTAGGGGGTTGTTTAGTAGAAATATTTGTAACCCCTGTCCACCACAAATTGTAGCATGAAACATCTTAGGTTGAAACATTTAACAAGCATAGAATAACCAATCTCCCCCTTTCTGCTGCTTCCATTGCTGATTGTTGGGAGTTGAGGTTTTGGATTTTAGATGAATGATCTTTTAGATGCTTATTTTTCATTATATAAGTATAAATATAATTATCTGACTCGTACTTAAATAGTGCGCATCCCTGTTTATCTTGTAAACACTAAATGGTGGGGTGATTATTCGTGCACTGCTGATTGTTATTTGGAACACTGATCCTAACTATGGGCATCATTTTTTATTCGTGAGATATATTAGGAACTTGCCTATTGGTAATCACTTATTGGAGAGCCTGCTACATTACTAATTGAAGTGTTGAATTAGCCTTATGTCACTTCGTTGATTGGTTGGCACTCAAATTCCGTAATTAATTGAAGTGTTGAATTAGCCTTATGTCACTTCGTTGATTGGTTGGCACGCAAATTCCGTAATCAGTAGACATGTGGCATAATAGATACCGGATGTTAGCATGAATGCATGTTGGGGGTGGTCTAATTGAAAGGATTCTCACCTAACATTTGTGGGCATTGCAGCCCAAAGACTAAAAAGGAAACAAAAGCGAAACCCTTACACATTGTATATTCGGCTAGCTAGCTTGGTTATATGTAGAATTGTTGATACAAATACAAGAATAGTTATTTGTAGATAATTGCCCTGTTCTTAAAAATAGCGAGACGTGTTCTTGGTCTAATTATCATAGCTATGAGTGGAGAACGCCATTGATAACTTATGGACACTAGGCGCCTTTAGTGTTATCATTTTTACGTTTTTTGATATGATGGTCAACTATTGGCATACAATAAGTTTTCTTGGCAGTATCTTTTTCTGGATGTGTTTCATCCAATGTGAATATTGAATGATATGCATCCAATGTGAATATTGAATGATATGCTTTTTTTTTGTCTGTTTGCTAAACAGAAAGTGACAAGTTTAAGAAATTCCATGCGAGGGCTTCATGTTCATACAATCATACTTGCATGCTTTCCTGAAGGCGGTAAGGATAGATATGTATTGAATTTTTTCTTACGAAGTGCTTTAAATTTTTCATAGATTTGTGGCCTAAATATATAAATTGATTATACTTGTCTTTGTTTTCTTAATTTCTTAAACAAATGCTATTTGATGTGTGCTGTGCTTTTAGATCTTTGTAGTTGTAGGACATGGCATGATATTGCATGAAAATTGCACCTTAGTGTACTTATAAAACTTGGCTTGGACTAGCTGATCGCATAGACACAAAAGTTTGTTATAGAGATTACCATTATGAGTTTAGTGCTTGTTTTGGCAAACATCTGAAATCACTTGTGTGTTCTATGGGGTTGTTACCTATTAGTATTCAACAAGTCCTACTTATGTGGTACGTTTTGTCTAGAAAATTATTTTTATAAAAGTTAAGATGGGTCCTAAGAAAGCACATCAAGCCACTATTGTGGTTGTGCATCATATGGCTAGCCACAAAATTCAAACATGCTTAAGTGGGGCAAAATTCCACAACAATTCCAATAGCCTCAGCTCTCAAACCAAGTTGTTGTAAAGTACACTTGAACTTTGTTTGACTTGCACTTGCATCTGCATGTGAGTTTGATGACAATTTATTTAAATAGGTTATTTATGTGCAACTCTTTGTTGCCTTACTTTTTCCCACTATTTAGTATCATAACATAAAATTATGGTGATCAACTACAAACTTTAATGTTTGATGCAACAGTTTTCTGTTTATTTTGTAATATTTGTGTCCCATATTAAAAAATATATCTAATGACATGCATTTTCCTCCGTTTGGAAATGATCCAACATTTGTGAATGGGTTTAAAATATGTCTCTTTTGTTGCGTATGAAATTGGAAAACCTTAAACTTGCGAATAAAAGTCTAGTTGGAAACCCTCTTCTACTGGACTTTTATTCGCATTTGTCATAAGGCTACAATACATTTACAATGCCCTGTATGTAACAAATAAGCAAACCACATAAATAGTGGACGACCACATAATGTTTGTGGTAGATCTGCAAATTATAATTACAGATTATCTCAAAACTTAGGCAACTAAGGAACATGCTTTGCTTTTAGTGTCTTAGTGGTATGTGTTGTGACCATTTTCCTAGATTTAACATATCTTATGCTACAGTTTGGAAGTATTGTAGCGCCCTATTGGGAGTTCATAGTGAATGCGCTGAAAGCCTGAAAAATGTGTTAGTGTTGGTAAATGCAATGCTCTCGAGTATCACCGTCCCGTCCCTGGCCCTGTTTTATCATCTGATGTACTTTACGTACAAATTTGTTTATGTAGCACTATTATGACCACTAGTTCTCTTTCCTTCTCGGTATCTTTGTTGTATTGCTAAAAATTTGGCTATGAGCTCCTTTTGAGTTATTTGTAAGACTTTGTAGCGATTATTGCGTTGTGGAGTGTAAGAGCATCTCCAATAGAGTTAGCTGAATTTGGTTACCAAAAAAGTTCTAGATGGAGAGAATTAATGGAAAATACTTTTTATTCTCTTCTTGAACATCTATCCTTACATAAAGCTTACCTTCTTTCTATCTCTCTTTGTACGGTGCTTTTCCACTTGAAACAATTTGTATTTTTGATCACATAAAATGATTCAAACATTATGGTCATGCATTACATAATTTTACACATAATACTTTTTATTCTCTTCTTGAACATCTAGCCTTACATAACGCTTACCTTCCTTCTATCTCTCTTTGTACGGTGCTTTTCCACTTGAAACAATTTGTATTTTTGATCACATAATATTATTCAAACATTATGGTCATGCATTACATAATTTACACATAATATTTGAAATTCGAATCCAACTGAACATAGTATTTCTAATTGAGAAACATTTTTTCTTTTTCTTTTGAAAAGGGGATATATTAATATTCTAAAATGCGTCTAGATACATCGGTACGAGCCTATTAAAATCTGAAAGGTCTTGTATTTAGAAACGGAGGCAGTAGTTCTTAACTACATCCCTTGAACCCATGGACATATGCATCCACTTTTAATAAAACATATTTTAAGCACGTTTTTAAATGTAAAAAAAATTCAAAAGAAAATATCACGCATACATGTTCGCAATGTGTGTACGTGGCACAAAGTTTTGTAAACAAATGTTCTTTTGTTTTGTCTCCGTAAAAAAGACAAATTTCAGTGCTTCTAAATAGTGTTCCATGACGTAATTTTTTGTCTTTTTTGCACTGGCCATAAAAAGTTGTTTTTTCTTGAAACTTTATGCACGTGAACATGGAGACGTACCCGTGCAATTTTTTTAGAATTTTAATCTTTTTAGCTTTTAGAAATGTGTTTTTTAAAGTGGATTCATATGTACCGGGTTCATTCGTGCACTTCTCAACATAGGCTGTCCTAATAAAGCAAACATGAGACAAACGAACATCATTCTAGACGGAGGAGAGTGAATCTCTACCGAGCCATGATGTTGGCATTGCTTTTTTCTTATGGACTGCGGCGGTTGTGCTGAGGTAGGAAGGTCGGGCATGGC